CTCGCACGCTCATTCCTCATTCCCACCCCTCCACCACACACACCCTCACACACTCATTCCTCACTCTCATCTGTCCACTGGCCTTGCCCTTCGCACACTCACCCCCAGCCCCACCCTCACTCCTCTGCCACTGCCCTCGCAGTCACCCCGTGCCCCTCCTCTGCCACTGCCCCTGCCCTGGCACACTCACCCTCCATTCCAACTCCTCCCTCACGCCCACCCTCGCACACTCAGCCCCCTCCTCCCCTGTCCATCACGCCCACCCTCGCACAGTCAACCCCAGCCCCATCCTCACTGCTCCGTCCCCCCAGCCCCTGGCACACCCACCCCATCCCCTCTCCCCCCCCAGCCCCTGGCACACTCTCCTCTCCCCCCTGGCTCGCCCCTCGCACACCCACCGATGGACACGAGTTTGATGTGCTCCCGCTCCAGGAACTCGAGGGCCACCGAGACGTTCTCCAGCTTCATCTGGCGGAAGTTGGGGCGCGGGTGGTGCTTGCGCCCCATCTTCTTCTGGCTGAGCACCTCGAGCAGGGCGATGAGGCGCAGCCCGTCGCTCAGGTCGCGCTGCAGGTCCCCGATGCGCTTCTGCACACACTTGAGGTGCTCGTTGCACCAGCGTGTGAACGTGTTCTGCTGGATCTTCTTCCAGGGCGCGTCCTCCGCCAGGTCCTTCTCGGTGGCCGGGAGCTCCTCGGGGTCCTCGCCCGGCGCCGCGTCGAAGGAGTTCATCCTGGTGGGGCTGGGGGGGTCCTCGGCGGGTGAGGGGTTTCCTGGGTGCTGGTGGGGAGGGTCCCGAATGGGTGTGTAGGGGAGTCCCGGGTCACTCCTCGTGGCTGGGTTGGGGTCCTCGGGTGGGTGTGGGGCCCTGGGTGGGGTCCCGGGTCACTCCTGATGCCTGGGCAGGGGTCCCAAGTCAATCCCCGTGCCCAGGTGGGGGTTCTGGGTCAGTCCCAGTATCCTGAAGGGGTCCTGGTACCCTGGGTGGGGGTCCCAAATCAGTGTCGGTGTCCTGGGACAAGGTGGGTGCCCGGGGTGGGGGTCCCGGTGGCAAAGCCGGTGCTGGGGGACGGTGTCCTGGCTCAGAGCCGGTGTCCCTGGGGGGGGTCCCGGGCGGGTGCCGGTGCCTGCAGTGGGGTCCCGGTGCTGGGGGACGGTGTCCTGGGTCAGTCCCGGTGTCCTGGGTCAGTCCCGGTGTCCTGGATGACGGGTGGGTGTCAGTGTCCTGGGTGGGGTCCCAGTTCCCGACGCCGGGGCACCGTGTCCTCAGTCAGTGCCGGTGCTCGGGGGGTGTTCCCGGATCCCGGGATCAGTGCGGGGGCCCGGGGACGGCGCCTCGGCTCAGTCCCGGTGTCCCGCGAGGGGGTCGCGGCTCGATGCCGGTGTCCCCAGTGGGGGTCCCGATTCCCAGAGTCGGTCCCGGTGCCAGGGGCTGCTGTCCTGAGTCTGTCCCGGTGCAAGTTCCCGGTGGTGGGGTCGGTTCTCGGCTCCCAGAGGGGAGCAGCGGATCCCTAAGGGGTCGGGGGGGGGTCCGGTGGGTTCCCGGTGGGTTCCCCGAGGTAGCGGCGGGTTCCGGGGGGTGGAGGGTCCACCTGGTTCCCGGGGTCGGTTCCCGATGAGTTCCCGGAGCGGAGCGGGGGATCCCGGCGGGGTCCGGTGGGTTCCTGGGGCCGGTTCCCGGTGGGTTCCCGGTGTGTTCCCGAGGCAGAGCAGCGGTTCCCGGTGAGTTCCCGGTGCCGATTCGCGGCGGGGTCCGATGCGTTCCCGATGCGTTCCCGGAGGGTTCTCGGGCCGGGGGCGGCGGCGGAGAGTGGCGGGGCCGGGGGCGGCGGCGGCTTTAAGCGCTGCCCTGGCCCGTCCCGCCCCGTCCCGGGGAGGGACCGACCGACCGGGAGGGACCGACCGACCGACCGGCGGGGGGGGGGGGGGGGCCTCGGGCGCCGCTATTTATAGCCCCGGCCTCACACCCGGACCCCCAGACACGGGCACCCCCAAAACCCCCGGACTTCGGCTCCCCCAAACCATGGACCCTGCACTCCGACACCCCCCAAAACCCCGGACCCCAGCACCTCCCAAACCTCCGACCCCCGGACTTGGGCACTCCCGGGGCCCGGCACCCACAAACCCCGGCACCCCCGAGACCCCCCAAATCCCGGCACTTTTGAAACACCGACAAACCCCTAAACCCCCCCGACACACCCAAAATCTCAATACCCTGAAACACGGGCAACCAGGAACCCTGACAGCCTCAAGCACCGGCACCTCGGAAACGCCTGCACCCCCAAACCCTCGGACACTGACACCCTGAAACCCCAAAACCTCAGTATTCCCAAACACCAGCATCCCAAATAGTGACACCCCAAATACCGACGCCCACAAATGCCAGCACCCACAAACCCCCAGACCCTGACAGCCCCAAACACTGACCTCCTCAAACACTGACCTCCTCAAACACTGACACCCACAAACACAGGCACCTCCAAAATCCTCCAAACCCCAAAAGCCCCAAACCCTGGCACCCCCAAAACCCCAAACACAGGCACCCACAAAACACTGGCTCCCACAACCCCCCAGACACCAGTAACCGACCACCAAAACTCCCAAAAGCCCCAAAAGCCCAGTGCTGCAAACTCCCAAAATCTGACACCTCGAACCCCCTGCCCCCCACTCAGACATTGGCACCCTCAACCTCTGCAAGCTGAAACACTGGCACCCCAAACTTCATCACCCCCAAACCTCAGCACCCCCAAACCTCGGCCCCCAAGCACTCCAACCCCCCCACGCTGAAATACCAGTACCCCAAATCCTGGCATCCAGAGACCACTGAAACTCTGCCACCCCAAAATCCCTGCACCCACAACCCCCTGAACTGGCATAACCCCAAACCCTGGCACCCTAAAATCCCAGCACCCCCAAAGTCCAAAATCCGAGCACCCCCCAAAATCCCAAACCCTGAAACCCCAACACCACAAAACTGCCACAATCCACAGGCCAGGAACCCCAACAGCCCGTTATCCTGGCACACCTGTACCTTGACACCCCAACACCCCAGAACCCCAAAATCTCAGCACCCC